TGGTGGTTTTCCCCCCCCCCCCTCCTTTTTGACTTTAAAATTCACAGCCCTCCCCCTCCTCCTGTTCCTACCAGGGCTGTAAGTCACCTAGTTTAAACTCCTCTCATGACTTGGTACTACGGATCTGACAAGACAGACATATGGTTAATGATATCTTCCAAGAATGTTATTTTGCCGAATTCTGAGGTTTGCAGATATTTTTGTTCATAAGTAAATTCTTCCAGAGATTAAAAATAAGGCAGAAAAGAGTAACAGATCTAATGAGCTGAAGAGGATAAACTGCTTCTGCTCTATAGCAGCAGAGCGTAAGTGGGTTACAACAGCATGAACATGAGGCAAGTGTGAAAAGTTTTTTTAAATTTCACAAGTACGAGCAATTTAATTTTTCAACCTTAGTTCTACACAAAATGCAGCTCAGAAGCAGCATAACAGTATCTGAATCTCCTTCTCTTTCAATCTGGACTGCATCAGCAGGGTAGCTGAACACTTTTAATTTTAAATCTGCACTCAAATTCTGAGGCTGTAGAAATAACTATTAGAATTTCCTTGCTGTGTTGACAAATCAGGCACCAATTAAAAGTTTACTCTCAAAGACCTGTCCAAAACCACATCAAAGTTTACTGAAAATGGTCAGTAAAATTAGTGGTACAGATTGCACGTGCAATGTCTAGGAAAATGTAAAGCCCTTTCTCCTATATAGGGAACAACAGTATGTAAAATTTAAATTGTTCATCAAACTTGAAAAGAAGTACCAGAGCTCCTAAAGAAACAAAGTGATTTAACGACCATCTCATACCTGTACAGATAAGTGATGGAATTTATCTGCCCCAGCCTGTATTTTATTCATTTGTTCGTAAGTACAAGCCTTTTTGTAGTAGCTAACCTCATCTTCTTGCTTACAGGTATGGAATACAACCATCCCTTGCACCAGCTGCTTATTCTGTGTAACCTGGCCAAGACATGGCTTTTATTAAAAGGCATGGCTTTTAATACTGGAAATACAATCCTCAGACCTTACACATGGCATGTTATTCTGTTCAAATGTGTAAAAATATAGCTTGCTTTCACAGCTTGTTTTTATTTGTAATTTTTACCAGTGATGCATAGCAAAAGGTCCTCAGAACTCACGAAGAGTGTTTACCATGAAGGCGGCAGATGCAAGCGTACTAGGAAAACCCGTCGCCAACCACGAGTATTGTTTCACAGGTGCAAGAACAATCACACAGTGTTACAAGTTTCATAATTTCACTTTACTCATAAGACACAGCCCAAAATGCTAAAGCTGTCCTGAAGAATTGTCTTCTGTCCAGAGAGGTCACAGGAGTCATCCTTACTGTTTTGATAAATTAGGTAAAAAGCCAGATTTCTGTGTCATAGTAATTCCATTTCTGATTATCTTCTCTTCTGGCTGGACAAATCCCATGTTCCCCTGTGATAATTATCAGTGTTACAAATGCTAATGTAACTGAGAAGTGTAGCATCTGATTTATTAATTTTTTTTAAGTGAACTCTGCCCACTAAGTGATTATAGTGTCTCTTATAATCTGTTAAATTACTTCTCAGCTGTGCTGCTACAAGGAAGCAAGTAGAGGAATGGTGCTTTCTGTATTTGACAGAGCAATCCTGCTTCAAAAACACCTCCTTTGCAAATACGATGGCAATATATATATAAGAAGTCAAAAGCTTATGATTCCAGCTAAAGTTTACGCTTTGAGTTTGATGCTGATGTTCTGCAACATTTAGCATGTCACCTTAATCCTCCTATCATTCTCCAGTGGGGAATGCTGCATCTTAAAACCAGAACATGAAATACTACGGGAAATTCTTGAAAGAGAGACAATGTTGTAAGTCTTTGTGTCTTATTCTGGAGTTTGATATAGAATCCTTTAGACCAGGCCAAGACTGTAAAGAAAGAAGCCTGAACTTAACAACCTAAATATCATTTCACAGCTTAAATAGCTTGCCATAAATGCCAGCATTTTTTAGGGTAGTCAATGTCCATCACTGAAACCTGTAGGAGCTTGCTCCTATTCATGTAAGATGCTTAAACAAGGATGTAAGTCAAACTACGTTATGTGTACAGTGTTGGTTAGCGACACTGAGATTTCTAAAATCTCTGATTCATAAAACAAACACTGAACTGATCCAGGTCAAGGGAATCATCAAGGCAAAACTGAATTCCACGAATGGTGCTTGAGAGTTCATGTTCCCTTACCTCTGAATTCTCATCCCGTAGTATTATGAAAGCAACAGTCACATATATAAGTAGCAAACATGCAGTGTTTGTTGTGCTTTTAAAATGGGCTATCACAAGGAATTTGGAAATGTATTAGGTTTATCACTGTTCATATCCAATATTAATAAAAATCTCATCCTTCCTGTGAAGGAAGTATCCACTTTCTAATACAGTAATACTCTGATGAGCTCAGAGAATATTGTAGTCTGTGTTTTATGATTTAATGCAGATTATAAAAAGACCAGGTAGTTACTTAAGAACAAACCAGCAAGGGAGAAAGAATAACTCAGCATGCATTAACAGGAAATGAATACCAAGTTCAATGGGAACTACAGTCTAATTAATCTTTGATAATATGTAATTATCATTGCAGGAATTTTGGTTAAAGGCACTAGATCAGAATCTAAAAACTGCAATATGGTGTATTTAATCAAGATAATAGATCACAGAATCTGTATATTCAAAACATAGCATCTGCAACAGCAGTTTATTACTGGTCCAAATTACAGCATTTGCTCAACACTAAGAACAAGTTGGCAAATCAAAAATGATTTAAAAGCCTGTCACTTTCTGCAATATGCACATGTAAAAGGAGTCTAAAAATATCTGCTTTGCAGATCCCTTAAAAAAATGACATATGAGCACACACTCACAAAACCAGTTACAGTCTGGATAATCTTGTTCAAATTAAGAACAAGAAGCTATAACAGCAGCAAATATGATCAAGGATACAACTAAATAAAACAACCTGAGGGTGGTTTTTAGAAATAAGCAGAAAAAAATTCAGACACAATGTCCATGAGGGATCACTTCCCTGAAGCACAAACACATCTTTGTTGGAAGTGATGAAAGAATTACATTGGAGGAATGAATGAAATTAGTGGAGGTGAAACAGAATGTAACTTACATTACTAAGAAAACATATGAAATCTTACAATAATTGATTTAGAATTACTTTGTAACATATCTTCCATATAAAAACTGAACAGATAAGCTTCATTTTGAAGTTACAAAAATTAGAAAAGAGCTCCTGCATTTGTACAGATTACATAAGGTGTTCTCAAGCAAGGTTAAGTTTAGATTTCTATGACAGTCTCTTCAGAGCAATCTTCATTCCTTGAATTCAGCCTGCTGAAGTAAGTTCTTCTATCCTGCCCAAATATCCGAAGAACATTTCTTCATTCTTCATGTTACACTACTCAATCCCCTTCATCCCTGTTTCCCCAAGGAGAGTCCTCATGACATACTTCATGATGCTGTCAAACAAATCTTTCTTCCACCTTCTTATCTCAGCTTGGAGAGCCACATCATGGGTATGTTTAAGGAGCAGTTTGAGGACTTCGTGAGAAACCAGTCACACGAGCAGTCATCTGTACTCAAAATGCTAAACCATACACTTTTGCACATCAGTTCCTTTAGTCTGAAGCATTGTATTTCCTTTGTCTGCACTTTCCCATGGCTAACTGAGTGTGATGCCGTACCTACTCAATGACTTTGTTCAGTTCATTTGCCTCTGATCTGTACAAGACTGTAGGTCAGGCCCTAAGGCTATGTTTAAACTGTCAAGCCTGCAAGTACTTCTGGGCTCCAGGACCGGGATGCACATGTAGGTTGCATCTCATGTCCGCACACATGGTGAAACCCTGGCACACTCCATTTTCCATGCTTTGATTTCCCCAGGAGCAAAACCTGACACACAGAATGGAAAGGAAGGAATGACGATGCAGCCTGGCCAGCTCTTGAAATCCGAGGATGGGGAAGTCAAAATTTCAAGGGATACCTCTTCGCTATCTAGATCAGCATGAGTCATGGAAAACATCATCTCTTTCATGTTTTTCTTCCAGCCTAAGGAGAGACCAGATCTGGACTCTCACATGCAGAGCTAAGCTCAATCGATAAGTGAATCAAAGTGGTTTTAAGACAACAGTTTCTGTTAACTTACTGAAAAGTTTTTAAAGCAAAGACAACTGATATTAATCTTTTATCTTTAATCATGTAAAATATTATAATCTGTTTCTTCTGTTTTACTTGTATTTTATATCAGATTGTGAACAGCCCCCCTTAACTCTTAAGTATCAGGATTGAAGGATTTTACATTAACTCACTGATTGTAAATAAGACACACACTTCTTGAAATAAGACATCATCAACATAAAATGCTATTACTTAAGTAAACACATAGATCTCTAAGCTATTACTTCAGGACTACTCTGTAAGCTCACACATACAATCTTATAAAAAGGAAAAAATTCTCCTATCCCCTTGTTGATGTGACTGAACATTGAGGGAAGACACTCTGACTGCATGGACAAATTTATCTGCCTGAACTATTCAGTAAACAAGTGAGTAAAAACAAATGCAAGTTCTTGATCTTCAGATTTATCAAATTTAGCTTCCTTGAACTTGTAAGAATAGAAAAATGCTACTGACCCAGTAACTAATATGGGTATAGAATTTACTTCACTCCACTCTTGATTTTATAAAACCTTTTTCTTAGGTGTATAGCAATACAGCAAACTGCGGAATAACTTAATACATTCCAAAGGCTTGGAATAAAAAGCTGAAGTTAAGCCATACAAGATATAATACCTTGACACTTCAAAAATCTGATTAATACTGTATTTGATGGGAATGTCTTAAATGTAGTCTGATACTCCTTATCACTACAAAATTCTCTCAATCTGTGGTGTCACCGCAGAGTTCTTTTAAGCTCTTCTCTGTTTTCCAAGTGTCCAAGGTAACGCTAAAACAATTAGCTGCTGGTTTTGCATATCTGCTTTGATTGATTTTAAAAAGCAAGACTTATTTTCAGAGAGAAGCAGCTCTTCACTTTGAAAACTGCCTTTTAAAAAGGGTCCTATTTTGAGTTTCCAAGAAAGATTACAAAAATCACTAGTCATGTCTGGAAAATTTAGTCATTAAATCCAACAGAGCAGTAACCTCTCAGGGAAACAAATCTCTGTGTTCTTTTCAGTGTATACAGAAAATGTTCTGGGTAGAAACACACTGCAACAAAATGTATCTTTCATTCAGTTGTTAGGCTCTCATTTAGAGGCCTGAAATCCCATAAATGTAATAATGTAATTAAAATTTGTAGGAAACAAGTCTCAAGTATAATCTTGAGTGACCCATACAAGGCCATTGTAAAATAAAATATTTAGCAGACTTCTGTAACATGAAACAATACTCTTCAAAAATCTGATCAAGTTCATATATTGTGAAAAGAGATTTATGTAAGATATCCAAAGTTATCTTGGTTTTGCTAGTCAAAATACCATTTCGTAATATTTAAATAAGGTATCATGGTTTCAAAGGTTTCAAAACCTGTAATACTGCAGGGCTGTATAAAAGCTTTTGTTTTTTTCATTTAATTAAAATAATTTACTTCATACATAAAAAGTATACCATATTTTCACAGATTTAAAAAACACATTATAAAAAATAGTGTTTCTCTGTGAGTTAATTTTACACATTTAATAGTTGAGTCTAAAACATAGTTCATATGTCATGCAGACGTTCTGTTGTAAGTTAATTTTCTATAGGGTAAAAGCCTCAATTTGTTAAAGGTAGAGAGCATTTCGTTTTGCCCTGAATTTGTAACTTCAACGTTATAGCTTTTTTGTTTCTTCAGAAAACAGATTTCAATAATAATTACTGCTCCCTCTGTGCAAAATCAAGCCTCTAAAACTGATTTGAACGTCAGCAGAAGGGCAGAAATTTCAACGTTTGAAAAATTTGCTTTACTTTCCCATGAAGTGTAAGTCAGTAGCAAAATCAAAATAATATTTTAAATTTAGGGAACAATAAACTGAAGAATATATCCAAAATGAACTTACCAAGAAGTGGAATAGCTTGTGTGACAGGAGCAGGTACATTAGTAGGTGCTACAGGAGGTGGAACAGTCCCATATATTTTGGAACTATCGGTAGTTTCAGCATTCCCTCTGGATCCAGAAACCACTGTTGGGATGGGATTTCCTACAGATGAATCTTTTGTAGTGTCTTCATTCACACCAGTTGCTGTAGCTAAGAGACAATGCATTGACATATTAAAAAAAAAAAAAAAAAAAAAAGTGTCAGATTTTCTGCTTGCACAATACCTTTCTTCTACTGCCACTTGCCCAAGATTTAAACACTTACAATTTGGGATGTTTACTGCCGGAGTGTGAGGAACAGATACTGGAGGAGTTATAGGTGGTGGTGGTCCAGGAGGAAGAAAGCCTATAAAAGAGGTATGTATGAATAGTGAGTATTGTGCATTTACATGGCAGATGCTTTTATTTGCTATGTGGTTAAAAAAGGACTTAATATTCCTATTAATATATAAATGTACCTGGGGGTAAATGCATTGGGTTGAAACCAGGACGTAAAAACGGAGGTGGCGGTGGTGGTGGCACTCCAGGAGCAAATCCAGGAGGTGGGATTCCTAAAGGTGCTGTGAAAGCAGGTGGCTGGAGTGCACCGACCACTGGAGGACCTGATGGATGTGGTGGAACCTAAGAAAAAAGGAAGAGGAAAAATGTTACCTCATGACCAACTGGATTATTTGTTGTTCAGCTGTGGACTGCTGTCTTCTGGGCTTTGTCCATCAAAACAAGAAAATTTAAGCTACCTTAATTACCCTGCAAGAACAACTGATCTAATTAGCAGTCAAAAACCTCCTACAACTTAAAATATAACTTCAATCTTGTTTGCCTTTGTCCTTAAATATGTTATTCTCTGTGGTAAATGGATATTAATGCACGCTGGTAACTCATCTAAATATACCTTTACGCAGCAGCAGGAACTGATTTTACCATCCAGCATGATACACTATAATGCACACAAATTTGGAGTGATTAGGAACACTTTCTATTTTCTTTTTCGCTACCTGAGTTCGTATATTAGAGTGACTATTGTTTCCTAATTATTTTACTTTGATTTATATCAAGCTCTGAATGAAAACTGATTTAAATTAAGTTGTTCCTTAGACTCATATTTATGAACTTTCTATAAAAACTACATTAAATGTGTGGGAATCAAAAGGAAAAAAAGTTTAATCAAAATATGCTCTGCATTTAAAACTGAAGTGATTGTAACTGACTCGCCTCTATGACCATCAAAATTTCAGTACTACACCAAGACCCTTCATGACTTTTTATTTCTAGAGTAAAGAAAGAAAAGCCTTTACTGTTTTATTCTCAGAAATGAAAGAAGTTGCACTAAACCAAAGTAAGCAAAATATTCTCTTTAAACCTGGAGAAGATGCTAAAACTGTTAAACACCCAATACCACTTCAAACTTTCCAAGTTCTTTACCAATGACTAGGTTAGTGAGCTGAGCTCACTTCTACTAATAAGAGTTTTAAAATCAATTAATCACAATAGTCTTTAAGTCATTAGGCTTTAGTGTAGACTTCTTATTTTTAGCTTTAAATTGGTTATTTATTGGTTTATAATAACCTGCTGATTAGGCCCTAGCCTGAAGTTCAACTAACTGAGCAGGATGTAAGAAACTACTGAGGTGGCACAAGAAATTGCCAGATATGACATATACAATGTGAGAAGCCAACAAAAGTTACAGATGGCACCATGAGGTGTGGCTGGATTCTGCAGGTGGTTAAGGGGGTGTTATGTGAACAGCCAAACTTCAGTGAGAAGAAGCACTGAGGACCTTCTGGGGATTAGGACCTTGCAAGGCCAACAGTGCACAGGCAGCCTATCTAGGGGTAACATATAAGGCCAAGAATACCCAGATGAACATTAACTTTGGGTAACCACAGAGGTGTTTCATTAATCACAGTTAAAGCTTTAGAAAAAGTGCTCCAAAACAATAGTAACCTAAGAGTCTCAGTAAGTCTTTTTGGTTTACAGGGCACTCCTTCAAAGAACAACAGCTTACAAAATAAGCCAGGCATAGTGACAGATCTGTTGATTCCAGTAATGTTCTGTGAAGCAAGCATTCATGTAGAGAGTGTGTACACAGCAGAAGGAATTGAGGAGCAGTATCGGTAAGGCAAAAAGGTTTAAAAAAGAGGGAAAATTTGCTAAGTGCTGTTGGTTCTTAAGAAGTTAAAAGCTGAAAATACTGTGGATGAAACGTGTATGCAATGGCTTGAGAAAGTATAATGAATAGTAAAATATGATGGAACCAGAATAGAAGTAGCATCAAAGGAAGATGATTTTTATACATATTAGAGGATATTCATACCTAATTATCCAAGATTAACCACTGTACTTAGTTTTTTTCTAAAAAGTTAGCCCTCTAATACATAGTTGTAAGCAACACATTAAAGTCTTTCCTTTAAGCAGAAAGAAAAAAGATGGTAAAACTCTATGCATAAATGTCACAACACCTAATTTAAAATGTAATTTGAAGGATAAAGTTTCTCCGTTAAAGAGATGGAACCAATAGCTAATAAACACTGACAGACAACAAACACAGAGGACTGTTGAACAGTTTCAGAATAATAGCTAATGAATTGGGTAAAACAAAGTACCAAAAATGCTACTGGGGAGACCCTTTATTAATGGTGAGAATAATAAGGGAAAACCTGGTATTTTATTAGCAACACTGGAAACTGGAATGACTGACCTCTCAATAACTGTAATGAGGACTGCCAGGTGCATCTAAGTGAACATGTCTTGAGCTCTGACCTGTGTCCAGGTACAACAATTTCTTACTGCACACCTCTCAGATTGAGACTTGAAGGAGAATCATTGGCTCTGTGAACTACATGAGCACAGTCTACCTACAGTACTGCAAGACAAGTAAATACATATTTAAGGGCACCAGGAGTCTCCACCAGGAAGACTGCAAAGGAGACTTCCCGTTTCAATAGAAAGGGTACGGGATGGACGTTGGACCAAGGCACAACTCCCACGCCTAGTTACAGGAGGAGTATGTGGGATTGAAAAATACATAATGAAATTTGGGATGTACACACTCAACCTGGACTCTAGTTTCTGGCTGAAAACCCATGAAATGAAGAAAAGTAACTCTGGGTTGGTTTGGGCAACTTACAGAAAAGGGTGGCCTCAGCAAACCACCTGGACTGTCATGTATAACCCTGGCAAAGCCTGAAGCACAGTTCACTGTAAAAGAATGGCAGCTTGGGTAGAATAACACCAAACTTTGCCAGGAGACTGGAACACCAATTGCCCAAAACCTCGGCAATACAAGTGGTATTACAAGTGCTATTAACTGAAACTGACTCTCAATAGCCAAGGAAACAGACTTAAGTTGATCTTGGATACTGCAATGAGACTTAAAAATAAACACAGACCTACCCTCAGAGCAGATCACTGAGGTGGATTACTCAGACCTGCAGCAGTGGGACCAGATTCAGCAACAGCTCAGAGATCTGAATCTACAGGCAAGAAAAGGGCTCACTCCAGCAGCACAACACAACAAAAGTATCCCACCTCTCCGGCTAACCACCCAGGACCCTGTGGCTGAGAAGATGATGTGTGCTTTGTTGAGGCCAAAGAACCAGACTTACGTACACAGGCTATCACTCTTAGGACGTTATGGATAAGTGCCTTACTCCACAGAGGTTTCATTCTCAGGTCCAGGTGAAAGCAGCAATAATGGAAGGTCAGTCACATTAGTTACATGGCTCACAGGTCATGCCCAGCAGAGCAGGCTCCAGCCCTGTGTCCGGCCCACGCAGGGGGGTAGCACAGAAGTCCCATTATACTCTACCAGAGAAAAGAGTGATGCAGCTCCTTCCCAATCTACCTTTAAGTGTGAGACTGTTAGAGCTGTGGGCAGATCACAATGCTGCTGACTAGGCCCTGGCCTGAAGTTAAGCTTCCTGAGAAAGGGCATTAAGGGCATGAGAAGCTACTGGACACAATATGGGAAACTGCCAGATGTGACAGATAATAATGTGACAAGCTGACAAATTACACATAGTGGCATAAGGGATCGCTCGATTTCGCAGGTGGTTAACCGGGTGCTTCGCGAACAACAGCCAGACTTCACAGATAACCATAAAGGAGCACTGGGCATCTTAGGAGAAAAAGGATCTTTCTTGTGAGACCCACAGTGCATAAGTAACCATTTCCAGAATACTATACAAGGACAATATTACTTAGGTAATCGTATCATAAATAGCAAATCTGGGTAGGGATGCAGCACAACTGAGACCAACACGGAAGAAAATAATTAGGGGAGAATTGTTTACTTGGGAGGAGATAGGAGTAAAGAAAAGGAGGAGAAAGCACAATAAAAAGGAAGGTCAAGAAGTGAGAAAAAAAGAGAGTAAGTTATGGGACTCATGCAGTCAGAGCTGTTTGGGGTTATCTGTCAGGCAGCCCTATGCTTGGTCACTGCAGCCTAAGTCAGGACAACACAGACAGCCTGTTCTGACATGTGAACACATCAAACCTGCTCCTCCAGTCAGAGGGACCAGGGTGCTTTCCACAACTAACAGGGGAGCAGACAGACAGATGGATTGAGCAACATGGTATCACTGTACTGAGGTCCATTCCAGGCTGGACAGCAGCAGCAGCTACCCAGCACGCCACTACAACCTCCCCACCTCTTACAGTCTCACACACTGAAGCCCAATACAAATTAAAGCAGTTCTGCTTGTATCAGAGGACAAAAATACATCAGCTAATTAAAATGCAATGGTACTTCACAGTGTCTGTCATTGTTCATAGATCACCTTTTCTCAAGATGTAAAACCATTTGGGAGGAGGTATGCTATTTTAACAGTGACAAGAAAGAAACTATTGCTATAAAAGTAGTAATGTGTCTGTCAATAAGCTAAAAAAAACCCAACCAGATTATAAAACACCAGAGGGAGTAATTATTATTACATGCTACTTAAACTAATGGTAAAATTTCAGTGTTCTTTTAGCAAATGAATATACAGCTACACAGCTTTGACTAAGGAACCTTTATAACAACAAAGGAAGAGTATGAAAACTCTCTGTTCAAAGACAGTATACACAATATGAACAAACATGAAAGCAATGTGCATATTTTAGGAGGTCTATACCTTATTTAAGCCAACAGTGAGGAAAATTAATCAGGAAACACACAAAAAAATGAAACCATAAAATTGAGAGGATGTAATTCAGCCCCTTAATAAAAAGAATCTACTGTAATATTTTATCTGGGACTGAGAGAACAGGTATTATAAGTACAGTACCACAATACTCCAAATAAAGATCTGGCAGACACACATACCCCCTGTCTACATTAGCATTAGAACAGCAATGAGGTTTTGGAGCAAATCCTCTGTCATTCCCACTAACCACGTGCTGACTCAGCTCCCAGGGCTGTTCTGGTACATATAAACGACATCCCTTTTCAGGGAAATCAAACCATACGCTCTGCTCCTGCTGGGCACAAAACATGCTCCAAACCCTAATGGGTTTGGGTTTTTTTAAAGTTTTCCATTGCCAGTGTGACTTTGCAGAATGTTCTTCTGCGAGACTGTCCTGGTCTTTTACATGAAGAAACTAAAATAATGGATTTCAGGTGCATACTCGATTTATGGTACAGGAAAGTTATCTTCATAAGTTGAAAGCATAGCCAGTCTGCTAACAAGAGCATTTTTAACCAGGGACAACATGACACACGTACTAGCACACACAAAATCAGGCAGTTACCATTCATTGCATTTCCTCCCTCTCTTTAACTTATGTACTGCCATGCTGAATTATTATTTAAAGCAAGTTTTTGTTTAGATATGCAGAGCAAATGAGAAGCAGCTCTCACCTGTGGAGGAGGTACTGTTATTGGTGCAGGCATGGGAACAGGAATAGGAACAGGTAAAGCTTTAGGTATAGGTGACACTGGTTCATTATGTGTAGCTTCTGCACCTCCATTTTGAGCTACTTCATTTTCAGACTTCTTTGGAATCCCCTTCCACTCTGTACAAAAAAAGCCCCACACATACATGCATCAGCTCAGTAGAATTGGATAAGTAGTCAAGTACTGCCATGTAAAACCACCATGCTTTGTCATATTTACAAAAATGGCTTAATTGAAAATATTCAGATAAGGAAAAGCACAGAGTTAAGCATTTAAACATATTTCTGAGAATAAAAGTTCCAAATTACTTTAAACACAGTACAGCAAATCATTGAAACAAAGCAAGTAAATGTATTCCTTTCATTAATCATTTAATAGTTCTTTGCACTGACAGCGTTTATGCCCAGGACTCTAAAACTCATCAGCTGTAACAAAAACTGTAAGACTGTTTTGGGACAAGCTCTCAGCAGATGCATTCCATTGCTCTCAAGCAAGAAGGGAGCAGCTTCTTCACTAATTTCAGAAGTCATTTCTGAAAAAAACCCAACATTTTCAAGTCTTGAACAAGGAGAACACAACAATAAATAATAAAAGAAAAATAAAAGAAACATCAAATATAGCTTTAAACTCATTTTACAGAAGAAATATGCCCCCTATTATTTGTTAGAACTTCCCAGGAAAAGACAGTTAAACAGAAAAAGGGATCAGTGAAAAGGCGCTATAGGAAAGAGAAAAGTACTCAAAAACTGGAAGATCTTGAGGTTATGGTTATCATTCATTAGACTTTCACTTAAAATACAAACTCAACTTATTTTTGTGTATTTATTATGAAGAGATGCTATTTAGAATAACCACCACCTAATTAGGGCAAACTGGACAGAATGACAAAACCCTAAAATAATGTTCCAGTACCTAGACAGCACACCACACAATGGTTAAAACCAACACAGTAGTCTATTATAGAGTACCAATTAAAAAACTTAAGGCAATTTCAATTTTTAAGTACTTATTTCATTTAATATTACTTTTAAAATCACAACAGCCAGGACACTAGTGAGTCTATATTGATCTGAAGCTGTTGATTACAACAGGTGTGATTTTCTTAATACGACCATAGTAGCCTGATATTTTCTCTGCTTACATACAAAATAAAAGGAATTCTATTGGGTTCCTATAAATACAAGACTCCCTAAAGGAACTGAAAAGGTCACAAGTGTGAAAACTATAGGCACATTTTTTAGAAATTATAAAGTTGCCATCAGCTCAGTTGCTATCCAAGTACTCCAAAGGCAGGCTCCTTTGCTTAGGGGTGCCTTGCACAAACCAGGGCTGCAGGAGACCCCAAGCTGGCTCTGGGACTAAGACTAGCAAATACAACACACTTGCATCATGCATTAGCATCAAGGGCAAACATCAGCACAGCTGACAGGTCACCTGATATCCATGTGCATTTTTAGCCCAGCCGCACAACTCCTGATAAGGGACTGCCACGACCTGCTTACAAACTCTGTCTGATCTACAGGTTGCACATGCTGCACTTCTCATCTGTTTCACGGATTTTATACGCACCTCAGCATCATTAAAGTCAGCCACACCAACTTCAGTACACCAGAACAAAAGAAATTTTTTAAGAAGCATATAAAGATGTAGCAATACTTTACCTGGACTAAGAGTTTCGTTGTCCAACATGCCTCCTTCACAGAAACTTTCGAGATCTTCAGGTTTCACTTTGTCCCATGGTATGTAAGTAACACCTAATTCTACATCCCAATACTGTTTGTAATCTGGTTTTATTCCTTTATTCAAAGCCCATGCAATCTTGGAGAGGAAAAAATACATGCAGTCAGTAAAATGTTTCCATTTTAATGGATTTAATGTTTGGTTCTCAGAGAACAGCATTACCAACTATCTGAGGGTAAAAAGCAAAAAGAACTAATTGAAACAGCAGGAAAACTAGTTTTTTTAAAGCAGACAGTTCTTATTTCTTGGCTTGCCTCTCACACACAATTTGTAAAAATGTATGAAAGCAGTTTCTTCAAACGTTCTCAGTCACTAAGATTAATTCTGTTTCCCTTCAGAAGACAACGTCATGCTCTAATATGATGTTCTACAAGTAGAAGACCTTCACTCATTTATTTATTAGTACTCCTTGTAGGATTATCAGATATAATTAAACTCAGTTATAAGACAAATAACCAGCAACAAGAAAAACATAGTTACAGTCTACTGTAATGACTAAACGAACACCTTTTTATGTTGGTTGAACAGACAGTTATTGGAAATCTGTCAAGGAAGCTGATATAAGTTCCACCAGTCATATTACAAAACAGGTAGAATATTTATCAAGAAAAATGGTCCATTCATGTAAATCTACAGAATACCATATGCAGAATACATAAAAGTCTAAAATTCCCAAAAGTCTAGAATAGGTGAGAAAGAACTACAGTAACTGCAGTAACTTTTGAACAGCTTGACATTTTCCAAGAAATACCTTTATAGATTTCTGATTGACTTTGAAGTTTCCTCGGCTCAGTTTTTGTAGGGCACGGTAAGCATCTTGCCTGTGAACCATTACAATATAGGCACATCCTCTTGGCGGTATCATCTGTTTGTATTTTAAGAAAAAAATTGGTTTTGCTACCACAGCAAAGTAATGCACAACATACAGGTCTTCAATTACAGTAAGCTGGAACAGCAGCAGCGGTTTCAAAAAAGGACTATGGAACTATGAAAGGGAACATTAGTTTAAGAAGCTAAGCTAGCCAGCATGTTCTGGAAGTACAAATTTATAGTAAATTAAGCACAATTTCTTATGTGGAAAGTTTTAAACTCTGTTCTGTGTGAAAATATGGGCAACTTGTATATTTAGTCCTTTAAAATTGTTAAATAGTAATGTTCATGTAAATGCTGTGGTCTGGCAATTAGTTACTCTGTTGGAAGAAACAAGGCACTCTAATAGCCCACTTCATTCCATCTACAAGCTGCCAGCTGCACCTCCACATTCAGTTTTATTTGCAGTTTTGTAATAATTTTTATTATGTGTAATGCATTTGAGAAGAAACTTCTATGTTGTTTTACAAAATTATGGACTAGGAAGAAAATTACAGTAACTTCTTTTTGTTTGTTTAAATAAAATCTTATAGCTATGAGAACAACTATCATTTATATATAAAAATATCCATAAATAGAGCAAAACATAACAATAGTTCATGTTTATGACTAAAATGACAGAAAAGAAACAAGAACACTAGCAGAGAGTCCACACTGCTATAATAAAACAAAATGGAGCCGACAAGGAACTTAGTAGCACAGTATGTAATTCTGTGCCCATCTTAATAGCCCTCTCACTCAATTCTCCAGAGAAAGCATGGTTTTTATGAAAATGGGATAATCTTCTGTATTACCCCCAAGAGCATTTTTAAATTGCAAGAAATTAAAGCACTGCCTTCTTGTTTTTCTGCAAAGCAGCCATATGAATTGAGTTTACATGTTGGAAAACAACTATATAGGAAGTGAGAGCTCTTGACTCTTTTGAATGCATAAAAAATAAAGCTGTCTTGAAACAGCTTTTACTTTTTGTAACCAAGGCATATCAAAGTAGCTTACACTGCACCACTTATACTTACATTTATTGATTCAATTGGACCAAACTCCTCCAAAAGACTTCCAACATCCTGTTGAGTTGTCCTTTTGTCAAGTTGTCCTACCCAAAGTGTAGTACTACAAACTACAAAGAGTTAAAACATATTGTAAGAGCACTTGGAAATACATATTTCACAAGCCAGAATGTCAAAAGAGTAATTTTTAATTAGTTTAAATTAAAAAATCCAGCTAATAATAAGATACATATTTTAATCTCTAGCGGTGTTTGACAGAACCCTTTTTCTTGCCTGGCTGGGGCTGTGTTAACAGCTAATCACAGCAACTGTACCAGAATCACTGTTAGAAGACAATTACTAAGAAGCTCTCTAGTTAACTAATATTGAAGTGACCTGCAAGTTCTGATGATCGTGAGCTCTAAAAATCATCATAAAAAGGAAAAATATGCTTTGCTGCTAACAATGTTCCATGAAATATCACAACATATACAGTGGCTATTTCCCAACAAGGTAAGTCACTCTGCTTAGAATGAAATCCAAGCTATGGACCACCATCACAAGTTATGGATGGTACTTACTGGCAAGATGATAATTAGGTTATTAACGGTGATACACCCAGTACTAGCAAGAGTTTCCTCCAGAATATCGTGACAATTCAACTACAATGAGCAACCAAACTTCTAATGTCTTTAGTGACCTATTCAATGCCATTTCTTTCTACAGTTCAGTGAAAAATTATTGACACAAGCTGCTTTTTTTCAGGAAAGAGTAAACAACATGTTTATCTCAGTTCATGCTTCAAGGTAATAAAACAGTAGATGAGCTCGAAGTATCACATTTGCTGAAGATTACTACAGCAACATTTAATACTCATCTATGTCTTCCCCACTGAGTGATATAAAACTGCAAACCTAAAACACATTATGTGCCAGAATCTGGGAGACAGACTGGCAAAAGCATATCTTACACCACTGCCAGTAAGCTTTTAATGAACAGCTACTAAGTTTTTGCAGTCCCCTTCAACTAATGGTATTGTCATCCACAAGGTTTTGGCTAGTTAAAACTCTTTCAGTTTTTGTCCCTCATATATATAAAAAAGAATGTTCCCATTCTACTTTTTAACTCCAGAGAAGATGCCACACTCCCCAGGAATATTCAAATGACAACTACTCCATTTTGTCTATAAACACAGGCAAAGCCAGGATTATTTCAGAAATGTGAACATTAGTCTGTGTGTGTTCCAGGTCAAAGCTCCTCTCCAGGTTTGAGAGATGCACAACACTGAATTATTAGAAAAATTGTAATAATGTGCTCAACTTCTTGCTGTTCAATCTGCTTTATCTTACATGTCTTGGAGAAAGGAAAAGAAAAACATGGTGTTTCAGCTTTTTCTTTCCTCATTTTACAGACAAAATATTTCTGACTTTGAGATATTCTAAAAATGCCAAATTGTCTACTGTAAGTAAAGGAAGTACAGGGATGTGTGATTAATTTGTTACCAGCTTTACAACAGTTCAAAAAAGAAATCACAGTACAGTTTACTTTTGTTCTGTTTGGATGAGTCTTGGAAGCCACATCAAATAGCATTAAACACAAGGAACAAAAAAAAATTTTAAAAACCCCACACATCACATTAAGAGTTGTTTTCTGGGATATTCTGAGCAAATACCACATACTGAAGGTAAGTGGACTTATCAACATTAAAATTTTTAAAAAGTCTAATAGATACAAGAGTATTTCTTTGACACAGTTTTTCTAAAATACCTGTCTATCTTCTTAATATTCCATTTTATACAGACATAGTATCTACTATTGTATCTTCAACTTCACAGAACTCTAGAATTCATTAAAGAAAATATTGGGCACAGACAAAGAAATTCTATATATGAACTAGCAAGATGTTGAGCATCTGAAAAATGGTATACAAGAATTTGTAGAGTTACATCAACAATAAAGAGAAAGAATAAACTTACCACTAACAGTTTCTGACTTGATCTGAGGAAGGCCTTTTGACCTGCGTTCTCTCTCCCTCTCACGTTCACGTCTTTCTTGTGACCGAGACTTAGGAGAGTGTCGGCGTCTATCCCTGGACCGAGACCGAGATCGACGATGACGTGACCTTCGAGATCGGGAGCCAGATCGTGAACGTCTCCTTTTAGGTGACCTAGTTTAAACCAACAACCATTTATGTTCAATTTTTCTGACCCAGACATTGACAGATAGATAACTATTTCGGCTATTTAAATAATCAGGCAAAAGTTCAGTCAATAAAAAAAATAAACAAACCCAAGTTCATTCACATGCATTTGGAACTAGAACAAATTTTTACAGTAGCTTATTAATGCACTTGTCCTGGTTCAGCTAGGATAGGGTTAAGTTTCTCCCAAGCAGGAGGAAGGAATCTCCAGCCAGGTTATTCAGGACCGGGTGGGAAGCTTTCCTTTGTGGCTTTGGCTGCAGGAAGCACATGTGGCGGTCTGGATGCGTTCATTGCGGTATTTCTCTGTATATCTTTTGTCTTGTTTACTCTTATTGCTGTTTATTGTTGTTATTGTTGCTATTGTTGTTGTTCAGATTGTTTATTACACTGTTGTATTAAATTTCCCCTTGTTTTAACCCTGGGGGTTTGTGCCCTACTCGGTCTGAGGGTGGGGGAGGGACAACGGCAACATGGTCTCCGGTCCCAGCAGGGCCTAAACTATCATAGAACTCCAGCTGAACAGTTAATTATTTTTCAATTTCTTATCTTCTATTAATTTTGTATTGAACTTGACTATCAAAACTATGTCGACAGTAACACAGAAAAAAGTTATATCTGCTTAAATTAGGACAATGTTTAATGCTTTTACAAAATAAATTCTGCCAGTGAAACTGTATTTTACATCATGTTCAAGTCCTAAACCACTCAAAGTCTGGAAGACAGAGTAAACCTTCAAAGAAATATGAAACTTGGCAAAGTAGAAGACACGTAACTAAGCAGATAGCTTTGCTTTAATACTGGAGCCAGATTTGTTAGGTCAGCTGAGACATGTGAAATACTGCCTCTGTGACAGGCAAAGTCCCTAGTACACTGGATCACAGATTTCTTCATAAGGAAAGTGTCTTTAGAGCACAGACAAAATTAAACTATCATATTCTGCTTTTCTAAAATTTACTGAGTATTGACAGGCATGGAAGTTACTTGCTACCAATAAAAGAGAACTGTATAGATACCCAGTTTTCCTTAGAAGGTAGATGACTTTCACAGGTTCACAAGTCTTAGGAGTCACTAATCTGTTTCTGATTACCACTGCACTGAAGTACATACAACCTTTAGCTGTATTTATACACAGTTCCCCTCATAGGTGAGGGGTTGAAAGGGTCTCTTTGCTTCCCTCTTCCAGAAGGGAAATTCAAAGTCCTCGACAGTTGTAACCACCAAAAAATTTCACGAGTGTTGTCCATACAGAGAATAATACACAGACAGTAAATTCTTGTAATCAATCCTTAGATTAAATTGAAATGGACTCTTGTGCTAAATGTGTCTTTTGGCATTTAGTCATTGAATCCAACCTGTACAGCACAACTGGGCACTTACAAGGAATGACCTTTGAAGGACATATGTGGAGTGGGGCACCCAAATACAGGTAACAAGACTATGTCCTAAGGTATTGAAAATAAGTTAGCTCACCTCTCAGCTATTTACCGCCATCTCAGTTAGAAGTTACCATCCCCACGGTAGATCTGGCAGCACAGCACCAGATACTCTGAGCTCCAGATAATCAGCATAGCTCTCCTCAGTACTCATACAGAATTAGTAGAGTTTTCAAGTCTTTGGACATGACACACTCAATTTCCTTATGTTAAAATCCAATCCTTGATAAAATATAAACCCTCACTAAAAGGACTTTCACTAGTTTACCTTGATGCAGACCTAGATCTTGACTTTCTGTTGTCAGAAACATGCCGTTTTCCCTCTTGAACAGGTGGCTGTTCTACTTCCATATCCTAAAATATTAAGTTGACTGGTGTTACATGTGAGTAGCACAAGCTTTTTATTTCATTTTATGCCTAGACTGAATTACATAAAAGCATTAAAATTATATTGAATATTCACATATGTGAAATTAAAATGTAATGTAACTCTCCTCAGAAGCTTCACCATTACTTTGTGGTCACTAAACAGTCCAGTATTACACAACAGACAGTCCAGTATTACACAATACAATCACTGCGAAAACATAATAAAAAAAATTTATACAAAAATTCATATTTTCAATTTTCAAGTTACTATTTTTCCACATTTTAGTCAATTTCAGCACCTCATATCTCTCCACAGAATATGATTATATTTCTTAAAGTCAGACAGTGGATCTTGCTCTGTCATCAAAATTACAGGCAAAGTAAGGTCTACTAGAAAACTTTTCTCCAAGCTGTTACAGGAAAGTGTTATATATATAAGCAAATTACAATACAATAAATTTAAAGAATGAAGCAGTAAGTCATCAAAACAATACATAAAATGAAAGAACCTGCTTTAAAAAAAAAAACCTGTAAGTTTAACACAGCTCTTCCTTCCTAGCCCAAACCCTCTACAGCTTCCTATTCCAGAACATACTGTGTCCTGTCTAAACTTTAAATAGTCTTCATGTGACCCTGGCAGGGGACATCTAAACAAGCAGTCTCTCAGAATGTACTGATTCAACAGGATTCAAGACTAAAAAACTAATTACAAAGATTCTCTTGAGAGTTGTCTCTTTATTCCAAGTGGAAGGTAAGAACTCATGTCTAAAATCTGACACATCGCAAGTCACATGTAAAGACAGTTTGGTACCATCTCTATTTCTCATTTTAGGATTTAATTTTCTTGGAAACAAAGAGGCAAATATATTATTTTCTTTTTTAAAATACCAGCTCTTAAATAGACTTGCTCTTTGATTTCTTCTTAACAGCAGCCAGTTACCAAACCAACAATATCCTCCAAAAACTTAACAAGAGAGAGATCTTTACATACAGCTGGATTTTTAAAAACTTTTACAGACTTCTGAGTCCATTTCCACTATAGTAGCAATCTACCAGGCCCTTAAAATGAACTTTTCCAGACAGCTCCTCTCCAGAATGAGATTGCATTGTTAGAATTCCATGGAAGAAAAGACTCTTGAAGCATGATGGAGACAGGAAAGGGAGTACGAGGGAAAGTGAGAAGTAGAAGGACAAAATGTAAGCCCAAGTCTTTCACAAAAGGAGGCATAAAGCATACATAAGCTGGGTTTGCTAGACTTCCAAAATACCAGCCTTGTCATGTAACACTGCATCTATCCATCTTTCTCTCAGGTGAGCTACCCTCACAGCAATCTCTACCCACGGTTATCATGAAATTTCCCCTCCTGAACAAACTATACACATTTGCGAAAGACGTGTATTAAAGCATTCAGGTTAGTTTCTTTGCTGCAAGGGGGACTCACCTGCTGATGTGGTTTTTGCATGTGTGGTTCAGTCTGTACTGGAAAAGGAGATTGAAAAGTTTGCTGTACAGGTGCTGTTGGTGGAATCACAGGCTGAGCCATGGGTGGAAACTGCGGGGTAGGCAGGAGGCCAAAACCTGGCATCTGCCCATTAGGAGGAAGCGGAACCTTTGGAGAAGAAAAAACACAAAAACTTCCAGTTAGGAAAAAAAAAACACATTAGCTTCCCCAGTTTGCTGTAAAATTGTATCTCTGCTCCAGTCACAATAAAAGACCAGAAGCCCAAGAAAGATGAAGTAGGTCAAGTGTTTAGTTGTATAAAATAAAATTTTGCTCTTTAAAGCTTGACTAGAACAAAGAATAAAAATATGTTTCTTGGGAAAGCTGAAGGGCTAAGCCATATTCACTCTTCACTAATAGGAACAGCACTTCCTTACTCCTGCACTGAAGAAAACAACAAAAGATAGAAAACATAACACAACAGAGGGACAAGAGAAAACCCTGAAGTTACCTGGTGCCGCATTGGATCCTGTTGTATTCCTATCATTCGCTGCTGAAAAGGATCCATATTTGGGAGCTGAGGAAATACTGGCTGTTGTATACCTTCTGCTGGAAATCCACTAAAACCAGTAATATTTTGGTGAGACAAGTCAGTAGATACACAGATTTTTAGTCTTTTACATATTCGTATGTACATTTACACATTCTTGCTTCAAATTTAGACAGAAAAATTATCTTTATTATGATCCCATTTCCTCTCTAAAGAAAACAAGAAAAGGAGAAAGAGTGGCTTCCTTATCTTTTCTCCACTGTAAGAGCAATCCTTTAACATTTAAAAAAATGCTACATAAAGGTTTAAGCCTCTCTTCCCCCTGTACTTATATGATCTTGCTAAAGATCTCAGTCTACGGAAATTTCTCATGGAGGTTGTCTGCCTTAAGCTAATTTTCTTCCTTTACAGTTCCTCTTTTGGGAACTAAAGTAGTAAGCCTTTTCCTGAAGGAAAATAAATTGGCCATACTTTCGCTGGAAAAAAAAATGCAGTTTGGGAGGAATTTAGGGCAGAGAAAGGGATATGTGTATCACACAAGGATTACAGTAATGCCATTCACTTCCTGATTCAACACACAGAATGGACAGTGCTCAGGCAATTAATGAGGTCCGTGCAGTTAACAGGACCTGTTTACAGGATGCAGTTTGTGTAAGAAACTGAACAGGATTTCAGGAAGATAAAGGAATTTCATAGTGATGTGAAATGGAACTTTGTAGCATTTTAAGACACAGGTGCCATACAATGCTTAGATGATTCTGGACAGATCAGTTTTTCAGATAGAGTACTACTGATTTTGTGTGCCCAAAATGAGACTACTGGAATCCAATCTTAAGAGGCATCTTACACAACTGTAAGGCAGTAAGGACAGAGGCTTTGAAGTGCTACAAACAGAACATAAACATGCTGAAAAGCCTAGCCCAGTGATCTCTAGTTGGGCATACACAAGCAGTGCTCATATTTGACCTACCTCACCTTTCTGTACTCCAGAGTTCCAACTGTATTACAGGGAAAATACTACCAATTTACTCAAAAGGCATTTTAATTAACTAACACTTGTGGAACATTAAAGTGCTCAAGGTGATAAACACAGTAATAAAACTAATGACAAAGTTAGTTATTCTGTTTTTGAGAGCAGGGTTTGGATGGCATATACAGAAAGTAAGACATGGGGCCACATACTGAAGCAGGGAAAAAAGAAATATTGACTAACCCAGGTATTGAGCACCATCCAGCCTGTGCACTGAATGAGAGAGAGGTCCTGTGGAAAAAACTAGTATGTGATCATGTAATTTAAGACTTTATCATAATGCATATCAAAAGGGAAAGGAGTCCGAGTTAGTTTGAGTGGGTATTTAATGTTTGAGAATGTAAAGCTGCAAAGCCAATTTTAATTTTTTTAATAGTTAAAACTACCACAATGTTTGGAATAGCATCTTTTCCCCCAGCCAGCAAAGCAATCCAGCTGATTACTAACAATGCCCTGACACACTCAGTTGTGCAATAAAAGCATGGAACTCATTTTGAATCCAAAACCGAGCTATTCTCTACAGAACACATTCTTCAATCAATGACGCAACATGCCAAAACTACACAGGATCACCAAAGTAAAGAGACAAAAAAACCTCTAAACCACCAGAAGTTGTTAACAACATTTTAACTTGGGACTGTAACAGTTAAGCACTGAAGTAACTTGGAATTTAATCAGACTTCTAACCTAAAGATTTTTTAGAACAAGGATTTGTTAATTTTACTATGACACAAAACTTACAAAGCTGGCTGAGAAACTGAAGGAGAAGGAGCCGAATCTTCTTTCTTTGAATCTTCCACTGCTTCTGGTTCATCATCATAGTCAAACCGATCTAGCAGCTTCTGAAAGAAATTACATTGAGCCAACTATTTTTTCTGTATGTTAAACAATCGGTGGCCAAAATACCCTTATTATCGAAGTCTTACTATATATAACAGCCCTGGAATTAAAGACAAGGTTAGAAACAGAAAAAACATCTATATTCTAACACAGAATCAGAAACTGTCGCAAACCAGTTCTACTCAGTTTCAGAAAATGCATAGGCTATAAAATCAGGAAGACAACTTCCAAACGGAAAGAGAAGCAACAAAATTTGCATCATTTTTCTCCTAACAAAGGGAGGACATGGAAGCATCCATCAGTCAGTCTTCTGCTGAACTGACAAAGTTAAACTAAAAGAACAAATGAAGACTTACTTTGTCAAATGATGTTTTTTGTTCAGGCGGTGGGAAAGTAGCTTTTTGTTCTGGTGGTGGTTGTGCTGCTGTAGTTTTCAACTGAGCAGTAATAGCTTGAACCTGAGCCATCACAGTGTTATCTATGACCGGTGATTGGGGTTTTTGAGGCTGTTGAAAAGTCTGAAGAATTTGCTGAAGCTACAAATATATATAGTATTAAGTATAAATTATTATATAAAGATATAGTATTGAAAGAGTTGTAGGATGTAAATTTTATACCAAACCAGTCTACAGCACAGGATGAACACCACCAACCACCTGAATGAACTATGAAGAACTTTCAGCAAGACCAAAAGTCACTTTTTAAATACTTCAGTGGAAAAATTCAGCAGATCCTAAGATTTCAGTATTCAGGCCTTTCAACACTGCAAATGTTTAAGTTGACCAAACAATAAAATGCAACATTTTGTTTGATATATTCTGTCTGTTCTCAGAACTTTGTAACTGCATCAATTCAGAACTCATTATTTATGAATTTATAACTGAATTTTCCTCAAGTATCATAATTACTGGATAGAAGGGTCACAGGTAATTCAAATACTGACTTTAACTCTTACAAGTTTTCCACTAAAGACCTTTGGGAGGCTTTTTGGTTTGCTTCAAATCAAAGATATTACTTCCCTCCTTTTTTCACCCCTCATTTAACATAAAAAATTGAAGTTAGAAGGGAACCAAATACAAACAGGTTACCTGTTGTCCTTGCGTTGTTTGAAACAACTGAGCTACAGCTGCAAAGGCATCAGAACTGGGTAACTGTGGCACAGTAGGTACTGAGTTAGCAGTAACTTGAGGGGGCTCTGAAGGAACCTTTGCTGCAGGGGGCGGCGAACCTGGGAGTTTCATAGGAATCAAGAAAGCACTACGTTACTCCAAAACATTTATCTTACTCTTCAGTGCATACATCTACCTCCACAAAATGTCTATCTACAATACTCTATTTAACCCCAAAAGTCCTATCTAAACTACCCTAACGGCATATTCTATTCATTTTGCCTTTAACTGCTCCACTCACTGCTCGCATCTGCATGTTATATACACTAAGAAAGAAACTAAAGAAAAACGGCCTATCTGAAAGTTAATCCAGCATGGTATTTTAGATCACAGCTCAATGTTTGTAATTCTTCACTTTCAGAAAAGAGAAAAACTATTACTCTGAAATAGTGTTAAGCAAATAGTATCAAAACACTTAAAATGTTAGTTCTGGTTACAAAGTTCTGGGCTCATTCTTTTGGATTAATATTTCAAATCAATCATCTAATGGTTCACTTTAAGAGCAAATGGGTTTCTATTAATATTTTCTGTTTTCTAGCAGTAACTGAACTTTTGCTGGTAATAATTAAAGGTTTTTAAAAATTATTTCACAAGCAACTTTGTTAAGGTTTATTCACATGCCACTTTTGCACAGGCAAAAGCCAAACCTGCATGAGACAGATAAATCCTTCCACCATAAAAATAATTTTTACTAATTCTTCTAGGAAAAGACTTGCATTTCCACTAAGCTTCACTAAAACTGAGATCACATTTTAAGGCATGCTATTAGCTTTGTCTACACATGCAGCTTTCCCATTCCCTTTGCTTTAGATTACAATGTGGGTTTTTTTTCTATAAATGTTTTGCCAGTATAAAGTAAATTAGCAGTAATGCCATCAATTCCTATGTGCTGTGAGAAAGTAACTATTCTTTAGCAAGTATATTTTAATGGACTACTGTAAAACTGTACAAGGAAAGACAGTTAAAAAAACCCCACAAACAGAAATGTTTTTTAGTTTGAGACACTAAGCAAATATGTTTGCCTCACAATATCAACTTCTTTAAAGCCATTCATCTGTTTGCAGTTCAAATAACTGCAGTGTTGACATGCTGCAAGCAAACGTGTTGAATAATATTTTCCCAGAAGTCAAACTCTACATAAACATACTGCAAAAAGATACATGATTGTTTTTAAAAATAAATTAACTCCCAAATTATTTCCTATATATATTCAGAAGGGTATTTGCTTGCTCAAAGGAGAAAAATTGCATTTCTCTCCCTCTCTCTTTTTTTGGCTAAAGAGACTTTGTAGCATTATGAGCTAAACAGATTCTATTCCACATAATGCATTAATATGTTTATTATTATTCATTAGTACATTTATTTCAGGGCCAAATTATCCCCTCTGGTGCACCTGAATAATCTAATTGAAATCAGTAATTCTGTACATGAAAATCCATGCAGAAGGCAACCAACCTGTAAGCTACTACTGATGAGACAAAGAAGGAAAAATAGCACCACTCACCTGTCATATCAGAATGAAATTGTATAGCCACCAGTTTGCACCCAAGCTCAGATGCCAAGACATTCCCTCCCCCTGCCCTATCATGTTTATAAAACACATCAACAGGATACACTTTCCTAAATACAACTGGAGATGTTTTCACTTATGCTACTGTGCATCATTGTTTTGCTGTCTGTCACCACACCTCACTCCATTAGGTTTTGCCCAGTCCTACTCCAACACGAGTGCAATATGTAAAGAGATTTACCAAAGCTAAGTCTGAGATATAGACTGCAAACTTGAAAAGAAGGCCCTCCAGAGAAGGAGAACTGTGGTATGCATAGTCTCAAGCACAATTCAGTAACCTCACTACCAGCTTTTTATGTGGCGTAAAATAGGTCAGTGAAAATGCTGTGGGCAGGCCGTCATTACTTTACTCTTTAGGTCAGTGGTTTTTAACCAGTAGCCCCTGTAAAAGACTACAGCCAGGCATAAATTTACTGTTCAAGAATCTGGATTTGAAACACCAATTAAATACTTCAGGGCTGCATACTGAAAGAGACTGATGGCTGTTGCTTTCAGATACTAAGTTTATTCAAAGAAAGATGAAGCTCTTAACATATAAGATCACACTTTACTCATTCAGCTTCTAACATTAAAAAAACGACATCAGAATTATAAAATTGAGAAACAACAGAAAAATATTTCAGACCAAAAATATTTAAAAATTTTAAGAGAGGACATTGAAGTCATCTGCAAGTACAGTGTGCATATATGTATTTGCCTATGCATACACATCACATAAATTTCAGATATTTTCCAAATAAGCATCCACATTCTGATAATTTCTGAAATACAGTATCAGCATTTATTTAGAATGAGTTCCACTGCTCTACATAACTGCAACAAAGTTGAGTTTATTAATATGCTACTGTTGAAACTAATAGTAAGCACTTTAACATGAAAGCAAATAAACTCTTACCATACACCCTTTAAAAAAAAAAAGTTAAAGTGTCATTCATACCTTCATTATTAGTAGCATTTTCTGTCATTGGTGCAGCGGCACTAGTTCCTGCTGCCATATCCAGAAGTGGTTGAATTATTTCAATTTTAAATACTCCATTTTTCTGCCAAAGGTTCAGGACACGGACTATTTTACTCTGTTGAAACAAAAGCAAACATCAACACTAAATACAAATTTCCTAATTCACAAAATCCAAATTTATCTTCCATACGTTGAAAAGAAAGGTTTGAACAGTACAGGAGTTCAACATAATCAGGCATACCTATTTAACAACCTCTATGTCATCACATAAGTCAGCAAGACCTCTTACATGGCTAAAGTAAAAACTGCCAATTAATTTTACTATTTGCTTTAATTAAAAAGCAAATTGTGCCATTTTTCTAAAATTGTTCTGGCCAATCTGAAAATGCAAGTATGATATACAACAAAGGAAATCACATCAGCCCTGCCATTTCTTCGCATATGGTCATGAAGTGGTGCAGCAAACAACAAATGTAACAAGAAGAAGAGAGAAAATGAAGAACTGGAAAACCCTAATGAAGAGAGGGGCAATTAGACCATAACATTCAAGAACAAAGCTTTAAAGTTAGTTAAAGTTTGTTTGCTTTAAATTTTTTCTACTAACCCAACCAATTCTATGTTGACACCAGAAAACCCATCTCCATCATTATCCAAGAGAATCAGGAAAGCAAGTGGAAAACACTCTAATCGATCACTGCAGAAAGTTTAATTAACCTCTTATTGTCAGCTGTTATTTTAAGCTCTTTCTTTTTTTAACATTAAGAACAATGAAGTTTCAGGAACAAGCTGGAAACAGTCTTTCCTTCTTTAGCCCAGTATTAAACAACAATATCTAACCAGATATGCTGCTTCAGTTGGAATATGCAAGCAGGTAAAAGTCAGAATACATGTTATATTGACATACCTGTCCTTTTTGTATCCTTAGTCATGACTTGCACATGTGCACATTTTAACTGCTTTTAACTTCTACTGTAGCTGCTAAGAATGAATTCTGTTCCTTCTTATTTCAACAATAAAGTGCCTTACTGTGACTCAGTTACAAACACCCATGCAAATCCACCTATACTTTCACAAGCTAAGCAATTAAAGAATTTCACAAAATGTTTTCTACAACAAGATCCATTAGAGAGAAACCTGAAATGGTTATTTTTAAATAAGATTTAGGTCTGAAAAAGTTATCTATAAAACAGCAGCATTTTTTTTTCTTTGGGTATTCTATCTCTCCAGAAGACTTGGAAATAATACGAAGGCCCAAAAATGAATATATTTAATACTCTTGTTTTCAGTCACATATTAATCTGACAGAAAGGCTGTTAAAAAAAAAGTTATCATTCTCTTTGTGTATCTGTAGATCAGCTTTTCTGTTTCGGTACTGGAAATTCATTGAAGTAAGCATGTTATAAATAGTGTCATTCCCCTTGTGGAAAGCATCTTAATTATTTTAGCGGTGAGATATCAGGTAGTTCCATAAAGGAGATGGATAGGCTAATTCATTTAGATGAACAAAATGGTAACCACAAAAACAGAAAGAAGGAACCGCTCCATTTCATCAGGGTATTAACCTAGAAGCTCCAGAATATCGGATTCAAGGCTTAAAGGTCCAAATGAAAACTACAGAGCATCAAAGACTTTCAAAAACTTAGTTAGAAAGTTAGAGAAAAAGTTCAAAAATAGTATTTTGCTCTTACAATACTACAAGTAAGAAAAAAATCAAGTAGGTGATTTTCTGAAGTTGGCAACTTCTAAAACACACTTATCCTAGGACTCTTTTGTAATTATTCTGAGAGAAGTCATAAAAGCCACCTTCTGTTGGTAGCAACCTGGGCCATCAGGAATTCAGGATACTTTCTGCCAGCAAGTACAATAAAACTAAGAAAACCCAGGCTTTAACCAGATTTGACAATGGAGAGAAGCAATGAAATTCTCAAGTATGGGATTTGTAAAGGCTGAAGAAATTAACACAATGATTTTCTTAGAAAATATTTTGGAGCAGAACCTCCACAAAGGAGCTTCTCCTATAACACCTTCTTTTTGTGGGAGACACGACCTTCCATAGTAAGTTTTCCTGAGGGAGCCTCAAGAAGAAAAGATTTGGCATAGTCACACACACTGTTGAAGTATCTGCACAAGCAAAACAAAACTGATGGAAGTTAGGCAAAATAAATATTTAAACTAGAACTTGCATTTAACTATCACTTTTGATAATCTTTCTCATCATGTTTTACCATTTCATCTAATAATATTCACTACCATGGCCATAGAGAATCACAGAATTAGCTTTCACATTGGTGGAAACATCAAGGTAGTACTGTTACCAATTCACAACAACACTTGAGAAATTACAGCTATACCTTGTCTTCAGATGGACAGAGATACAAATACTGGAATGTGGCAGTAATATTTTTAGAGAATCTTGGCCCAAAAACATCTTTGTCCGTTCCAAACTGGTGACGAGACTGACGAACAATAGAGTCAATAACGTACAGTCCAGGGACTTTATATTCTGGTTTGCACTGAAAACATAAAAATACTTTTCTATTATGCAGTGATACTAACAAGGTAACATGCATTCATCTTAGATCATTACAGGATATCTATACTTAGTTTACTTAGGTAGAAAAAAAAAATGTTAATTTGGTTTAACTTGTTTTATGTAGAATTCTCTTAGTGCTTTACTTTTGTTTTGTTTATAGAAATGAAAAATGAGAAAAACATGCTTTCACATTTGTGACAGAATAAATATACCTGGATAGCTTGAAGCAGCCTTTATCTTCTCAATCACTACTTCTTAAGTACCTTTAGCTTGACAACATGGCACCACAACAACAGATCTACTACATTACAGTACACTGTCACAACTCTTGCTATCAAGCTACCTCACACTCAATGCACTGAACTACTTCCACAAACTCTTATTCTCCAGAATTTAATGCAAAGTTCTTCTCTCTGGAGTTCTCTGAAGGACTCTGAATGAAAAAGGAAAGAGTATTTTCCTGTTCACTCACAGGAACTTACTTTAGGCAGCATGATAGTTTGGTTTTTAGTGAGCATTACATTCTAGTCTGTTGCTCTACATGTCTAGGCAAGCATGAAAAAAACTTTTCAGATAATTTATTTTCAGATAATACGTTTTATCTTAGCCAGTGAAAATTAATTTGAAGTTCAGTATCTCCAGTTTCCTCCCCACTTGCTGGGTAGAGGAGAAAGGCAGAATTTCAGATTTTTTTTCCTCCCCTTCCTAATGTACTACACAAAACTAAAATGAGATTATATAGGCAGATACCAAAATGTATAAAATCCCACCTAAACAGAATTTCCTCCCTCAATCCCTGAATAACAGAAGCCTTTTTGTTTATTTACTAGCATTATTAATAGTATGTAATAACAAAATACAAACAATATCTTTATTAATAGATTGTTTTATATTTTTTACCTTTTTGATAAACTTCTCTACAATCTGGACAACATGCTTGTAGAGCTGGAAAATAAATACACACATTAATTTATCGTTTACTCAACAGTGGTGTAGCATTTTAGAAGTATTTTAACTGTGCTTACTATCATTTAGGAAAGTCTATGAAATACTGTAGTCACATTATAAAAAGAAGGATATTACCAAGCAAAGTTAATCAAGCACACAGAAAAAAGATTTCATGAGGGGAACTGACAGAAACAAGCCATCCTTTCTGTCAGAACTGTGTGTGTGTGTACACAAAGAACATACTGCTTCTAGAGTACTAGTGAGAGCTTTCTGGATTTACTTTCTAAGCCAGCCTGCTATGTTTTAAGATGCTAAGGTGCAGTTGCATCCTGCAACATTTTAAATTTTATTACATAGAAATGACAACACCATAGTGGGTGTAGCAATGAATCAAAAAAAAAAAAAAAATTTCAAGCTGGCATTATGCTACTAGTCTAAAACCAACAGATGATATTCACCACCCACTTTTTTCTAGATAACATTCTTAACGCCAACTAGAATAAAACATCCATGAAGCTAAGGCTAGAAATCCAGAGATGCATTTACTTAGAAGTAAAATAATAGAACATTGCTACTGTTACAGTTTTATGTTTGTTCTATTGTACTTTACCTTAATAGCTTTAATGGCAGCTTTTGTGATGAGAATCATTTTTGCTCGGGAAATAGGAGGTTTCATCTCCATCAGTGAAAAGAGCTAAACAGAGAAAACAAATATTAAAAATGTATTCTGAAATTTAAGCAGCTAACCAATAAGACAACATTTCAGACAACTGATTTATTACTGACATTCCACACTATATATCACCACAATGCTGGCTGGCCCTTGAAACAAAGACTAACAAAGAAGATCTTTCTAGGCAACATTCAAAGCTATCTTCCTTGTGAGCTAACACCTATTCACTGATTTACCAGATTTTGATAAGGCTGCTGTCAAAGTTCCATTTGTATCTGAAAATTCGTATCTGCTAACATTGTACGGGCACAGCTACTTTATAGTATGGGAACTTGCTACTTTACAAAAACAATATAAACTCAAAACAACTGCAGCTCAATTTAAATTAGCCTGAGTATCAGCTTACCAAATAGAAATATCAGAACGGTCCTACTGATAGCCAGACTGACATAATCCTATAATCTTAAAATAATGTGCATAAAAGTATGACAACTTTCATCCATCAAGGTAATCAAATCAACACTAAGTTTTCAAATTATCCTACTATATACAGGCATTGCAAATGTCTTTAACAGATATGTTTATCATTTCACTTGTTATGACCATACCATATTATTAAAATAAACTGCACCAACTATTCTCCACACTAACGTCACTCTGTGGAAAATTTAAATCCTCAAGGACAAAGTTTTCAGAAGTCTTTATATATGACAGTTTGAGACATTCTGTGAACGGGATTTACAGAATAATTCTGATTTCCTTTCTATAAACACAGCCCAGACACACTATTTCAAAGAGTTTTAATCATATCAGAAGTTAAGAAAAAATTCTGTTAAGACTGTTAAGCACAAAAAGGGATTCTGTAGTGCTAGATTTAAATACTAGGGGGGG